CCCGGTGCCGTGGGGTCCCACCTCGCAGGAACCAACACTCGCTCACTGCTGATGCGTAACACTGGGGAGGGCCGAGGGCCTTTTAATTGCAGCTGTCCTGCTGATGGCTCAGTCAGGAGGGAACCCCCATAAACCTGAGAGCAGAAGCTGGCTCTAACCTGTATCTTAAGCGCTCTTTGAAGGGTGAGACTGCTGAAGCAGACTGGTGCTGCAAAAACTACACAGGACACGCATGAGTAACAGGGAGAGCAGAAGAAGTGTCACAGAGCATTGCTGTGCGACTCAGACGGGTTGAGCAGCCAATACAGCGTCTTGCGAGATGAGACCCCTCCAAATGCACCCTTATCATCCGTGAGCTAGGCTGAGCAGCTCCACAGTTTGTGACAAGTTTGTAGTAAGCACAGCCACCTTCCAGCCACTAAACACTGTTGTGCAAATAAGTAATTACTGTCCAGACAGAAAACAGGCACCATTCATTCAGGGCGGTGCAGTAGTGCTCAGGGAACAACTGCAATTGGTTTTTGCATAATCACTGCAAGTCGGCGATAAAAAACAATGACTCCACAGGAATAAAGTGCCAAAATCTCCTTGATACCCTGTGAGCTAATGCCTGATCCTGCTCCTCGGAGATCAGTTGGAGTTCTGCTGCAAATGGCTGGCAGTCAGCTCTCTAACACTACGTAAATCCATTTCCTTTCCCTTCAACCAGGAGAAATTTGTTATTGGGAGTAGTATCAGACACCAAATTTCGCGCACGTGCACGTACACAACCGCACAGCTGCTTTACACCCGGTGCTGGGGCCAGCAGCGCTGCAGGGCCAGCGGGAGCATGCCCAGCAGCCAGGTCCCTGCCTCTCAGCGGGGACCTGCAGGGTTGGGCTGGGCTCACCCAGCCCCACGCCTGCCCTGGGGACACAGAAGACGGGCGGGGGGCGGGGTTCAGCTATTTTATGAGGCACTGAATGACAAACAGGCAGGCACTGAAAAAATACAAATGCATCCAACCCTCTGAAGGGATTTACTCAGAGGTGAATAGGTTGGTACAAGTGGCTATTTCAGGTCCCTGCAAGGACATTTAAGATTAAGCCAGGATTTGGTTGTAACAGGAGGCTCAGGGGCTTGCACTCCCTTCTAGAATGGCCATCGCTGGCGTGAGCGAAGCCCCAGCCCCAGGAGCACTGCCTATGCTGCCAGGTGCCATGAGTTCCCACAAAACAGAAATCCAGCTGGATATTTACCCTAGCCTGTCCAGGCAGGCAGACGACATGAGGTTGTGCTGCGAGCCGGTGTCCACCACGGCCTTCAGCTCCTTCCCCGCACACTGCAAGAGCAAGCAGAGACGTGTGACGATGCGTGGGATGCGGGATGAGCGCAGGGTGTCCAGGGTCTCCGCTCCACACACACCGGTCCCCGCCGAAATGCCAACATCTCCTCGCACCAGCCCATCCCCGCTCCACCTCATGCCTGCAGGGTATCGCCTCGTCCACCCCAGGCACCCAACAGTTGGCTCTTGAGCTGTTTTTTGAATAAGGTGGTGCTCCTAAACAACATGGTGCTGGGTCCTGAGCCCTTCCTGGCAGCATTTGCTCCTGCAGAGAGCAGAAGGGGCAGCCCTGGGCAGGAGGGGATATTGTGGAGAGCAGGAAATACAAAAGAGTGTGGGGTGAAGGAGGAGAAATGTGAAATTACTCTTGGGGAAAGAAAAGAGGGATGGCACTTGAGGGAAACAACTAGGCTGTGAGCACAGGGATTCGCCATGGATAATTACTCCTCAGCGTTTCAGCATGCTGCCCCAGCCTGGCTACTCCCTCCGCCCTGATGTCCAAGGGAAGACATCCATCAGACCAGCTTGCGCTGCGATACCCAGGTGGGCGCCCGTGCTGCAGCAGCCCTGAGCTGCAGAGGGAGAGCATCCCCACAGCTGTGACAGCCCCGGTGGAGTGCAACCCCAATCGGGAGAACAAGAGCACAGCTTGAGGCTGTCAGAAATAAAATTTTGGGGAAAAAAAACCCAGAAGGCTGGGGAGGGACTATTACCTGGCAGCTCACCACTATGAGCTCCTCGTCCTCTGTTTTCCCTGAGCTGCCCAGTTTGGTTTGATTCAGCTTGTTGGTCTGCGCTGAGATATCACTCTTCAGAGTCCAGCTGCCTCGGCTGCTTCGTAATTTTGATAAATTTGTCTCCATCAGGCGCTTCTGCAGGATATTATGTGGTTGCTTTAAGAAAAAACACAAACAGAAGTGCAGGGTGAAGTCAGAGGAAAGGCACGAAGTGACCTGCATCGCCAGCCTGCTTGTGGTGCCCACGGGCCAGCGCTACTCTCGTGGGAGGGATGCCCTAAGGTCTCACTCTCCCCGATTCCCAGACTACATCTATTCTTCCTAGCCTACATCTATTTGTCTTTGACTAAAGACAACTACTTTGTATTGGCAACGGAATAATCCTTTCAAAATATTAACCAGCATTTGGAGGGATGCCTTTCTTTTCCAAACACAAGTTCAAGATTTGATTTCATATAGGAATCAAAACAAGTCAGGCTTTTCCAAGCTGGTGTTTCAGCTGTAATTGCCTTCATCTGTTGATAAGGATATTGGGAATTCTGCAGTGATGTGAGAAGTTAAGAGGTAACAAATTACCTTTCCAATTACACGCACCACCTAAGTATGAAAAAGATGTATGGACTTACTGAATGAACACAGACACTTTCATTCAGCACTGGCATTGCTGGCATAGGAAATACTTGTGTCCAGCCTCCACCCGTGGCGATGCTCTTTGCGTGAATCGACCCAGAATTTAAGAAGCTGAAGTGGGTGTCTCTGCGTTGGCTCTTACAGGTGCAAGTGAACAAGGCACAACTGCAAGAAGAGAGCTACAGATGGTGTCTATTGTCAGACCTGGTCTGGCCTTTAGATCAGAATTTGCTCTAAAATTGCCCTGCGTCTCTCTTCCCTCCACATTTGTATTTAGCTGCTAAGGGTGAGTCAGTGGGACCAATCCTGGGTGCCATGCTGTGGGAGGGAAAGGAGAGAGGGGAAGAGGTAGGATCGTCTGAGGTAGGTAGGTAGGTGTTCTCCTGGGAATCCCCAACGCTTCGTACGGCGGCTTCTCGCTTTCTCTGCCATTTCCATTTGCTCTGCGAGAAGCATGTTGCCTCTCAAAATCTCCTCCAACTGCTTTCCCAAAAGCCTTTTTATGTTTAATGTTCGTCACGGATGGATGCACGTACTCTGCTGGAGGTGAAATAACTCTGCTTGATTATCTGTTCTTTTCTCTGCCCAGCTAATCTCCCCCCCCATTACTGCCCTTCCCTTCTGATTTTAATTTGTCCACCGTGAGACCTTCTTACTGGCTTATTCCTGAATTTTTGCATTCATATTAAATATGCCTGTGTGTCTGCAGAGAAATCTAAACCATCCTCATCCCGAGGGAATTTCAATGGGATCAAGATAACTTTGAAAACCTCGGGCCGTGGTTCCCCGAGTTGGCCAGCGCGCACCTTCATGTGCAGCGCCTCGTCTTTAAAATAATCTGTGCGGCATGTTAAATAACAGCACTTACAAAAGGCTAATGCAACTTGGCATCATCCTAAAATAACTGCAACCACGTTAGTGCTTCAGATCCTGCTGTAGATGTAACACGGGCAGTTAAACTGGACCTGACTGCTGAGATGGGGTGGATGCAGCCAACAGCAGTGGTCACTGGGACACAATCTCCTTTTTTCCCCACTTTTCACTGTACTTACTTCTGCATACAGCCTGCGACTTGAAAGGAAATAAAATTTCATGACCATTTTCAGTTGCAGGTACTACGTCTGACCAGCACGCTAGAGAGCATGTCCTGTGTAAAGGCGATAACGTAGTCATGCGACGGGGAGAAATCAGATCCAGCACTGCGCTGTCTCCTTCACACACAAAAAGTAACAAAGCTCCAGCACTGCTCTGCTGACCACCGCCTTCCCAGCAAGACTGAACAGCAGAAACCGGCATTACTTAACTAGATTAAAGGCGGGCAGACTGGCTCCACTAGTAATGGACCTGTGCTGAGGGACGAGCAAATCAGTTTGGCATCGAGGGCTCCCTTACAAAAGGCAGAAGCCGTAGGTGCACAGTCAGCGCTGTGGTCACCTCCAAGGCTCCTCATCTGAGCAAAAATGCAAGCCAGGGTTTGCTGACAGTGGATGGCACGTCCTTGTCACCCTTTATGTTTGCCTGCAACTCAGGCACGCATCTGGAGGACTAATTCTTCACATCACCAAAAAAACTCAAATGAGAGGATAGGGGACTGGAGAAGTAGATGAAGGGTGGAGAAGGGTGAAGTTCCCAGCTGGCCAGAAGACAGCCTGTCACACAGTGGTCACCTCCTCGCGCCCGGCCCCGCTCAGCTGGGACCGAGAGAAATTTCTGAATGGGATCATCCAGGACGGTCTGGGAGCTCTTCTGATCTGCCTGGCCTCGATCACGTTGCCAAATACCTTTGAAAGAACAGTCACCAGCACACTCATCATTGCTATTTTAACTGTCATCTACCCTTGATTTAAACCTAAATTTTCTTTACTACAAGTTCTCCTATGGATCGTTAACCAGTTATGTATGTGAATTTTCTCAGGCCCTGGTTTTATGAATCCTATATGGGATCCACCACCAAAAGGAAAAAATCCAGCACTCAGCAAACACGAGTTACCACCACAAATGGGACTGTCTTTTGTTGACGCTTGCCCTTCTGAAAGCTGCAGTGAATCCTGCTTTTGGGGGGACAAATGTTGCTTACGTTGTGCTCCAATACAGAAATAATCTAGCAAGAGGGGGCTGAAGAGGTTCCCCGCAGCACCATCCTGTCTCAGGCTATTAATTAGTTTGCTTTAACTTGTATTTCCCTTGACTCTCATGTGCAACAGAGTGAGGGATGTTAGTCACAGAGATGACTCAAGTGATGGATACGTACTTGGTAAACAGGTAATGTGCCGAGGGACATTTGCAAACGCACATTTTGCTGGAAAACTGTAAGCAGACCATGTCTGGGAGGCAGGAGGGAGAGGAGGACAACCTCCCCGTGACAGCAATGAGGAAGGCAGCCGTGTTCTCCCTCCAGCGTGGGTTGGCCACACAGCCAGGACCAGTGTTTGAAGTAACCCAGATTATCTGGTACTGTCTTTCTATGCATCGCACAAAACTGTTGAAAGCTTTATAAAAAAATAAAATATTACATACCATTCTGTAAGTGCAAAAAAAAAAAGTTATTTCCTAGTATCGTTCAGCACGATATAAATACAAACCAGGATTTTTTTTCATAAGATATCTCCCTTTCCATCCCTGAGACTTTGCAAAAACCTACAATCCCCTAAAAAAGTCACAGTAGAAACCTAAAAGAAGTGAGTGGAGACACCGGCTATTGCTGAACCTATTTACCACTGTCTGTCAAAACCACAAATAATTCTGTGCAGTTTTGTTCCGCTCTAATTTATAAGCAAGCGCGTTGCTGCGGCTTGCAGTATCCATCTCTTGGGCAGGTTTCCCATTATTTTGGCTTCTAGATCTGGGGATAACAAGACCCGTCAACAACAGTTTCACTCAGGTGGAGATGAAAGTCAGGGAAGATGCCAGCTCCTCCCCTCCCCAAACCCATCTCAGGAGGTTTGCCCTGTCTTCTGTACCTAGACTAGAAAAAAACAATGGAGCTTGTCCCAAGAAATAACCAATTTCTCTGTCTTCTTCCCATCCTTCATCCAAATTCACCTCTTCTACCAGCAGCCTGTGCTCGTGTGGCGTCAGCCCCTCTCGCAGGGGGACGAGGTGGGACAAGAGATGCCCCCTGCTCTCCTGTGCCCCCTGGGTGCCCAGGCAGCGGCCAGGTCCCTGACCAAAACAGGGCACGTAACATCAACGTTTTTTGCATTTTAACCAGGACACAGCAAACTCTGGGGAGTGCACAGTGGGAAAGCGGGGAAAGCGGAATGCACTGCCGTTGACTGCGATGTTGCACCAGCTACAGGAGCAGGGGACGGGGCCACAGGGGCACCCAGAGCTGCGCTGAGGACCGGGGCACCCAGGGGAGGCTCCAAGGGTATTTTGGGAGGGAAAAATGCTTTTTTTTGTTGTTTGTTACTATTTATAGCTTTGTTTCCCAGCTTGTAAAGTGATGCGGGACTGTTTTGCCAACAGCCAGCACGCCCTGCCCAAGTCAGGCAGGGGGTCACAGTTACGGTGTCGGGAAGCCCAAATCCCAGCTAACCACCATCCCATGCCAATTTTCTGGGCTTCGGGGAGGAGGCTAATAGTGAGGCATCAAAACAAAGCCATTTCTGCTCTGTATATCCAGCCCTACGTTTGCCAAATCCAATGTATGCTATGCTATAGTTTGGTCTTATAGTAGGCAAAAAAAGTGGAATATGTAAAGGAAGCGAGGAGCTAGAAGAGTTCGGTCCAACCCAGAATAATACACTGAAAAATATCGGAGGCTTAACACAGATAATTACAACAAGTATCTATCAAACCTGCCTACGTGGTGCATCACCAGCAGAGATGCTTCAGGAGCCGAGTAATGGCACACAAGCTGGGGGATGCCAGCACACCCGCCCCGGTGACCTGTGCGCAGCACCCCCTGCGCTGCGGCCAAAAGGAAGGGGATTTCTCCCCAGAATCGGAGTGGTCGCTGCCAGCTGTCACCCTGACAGACAGGGTCTGTCCTCACCACCTGTCCCCATCTCTGGGGAGCTGTTACCTCCTCTTCTCTCCTGCTGAGGCTGCTGGAAAACCCCCACGGGAAACCCTGCATTAATAATGCCAGTCACGTCAAAAGCCCTTCCACCCACGTCACCACAGCTGTCACACGGCTTTAGACACAAAAATGTGCTGCTTTGTTAGGAGTTGTGCAGTTATTCACAAGACAGGCATGCAAATGTCCTGGCAAAGACCCCTGATGGCCTGGGCCTCCTGACCGTGCAGCTCAACCCCTCTGGACCTGGACCTCTCGGTTTGGGGCCCTGCCAAGGTGGTGTCCCACATTTCAGAGGCTCTTGGTGCTTCTCCAGTCTCAGAGACGCACAATCTCCCGCTCCTCCTGGGGACAACTCTTGTGACATCCAGGCAGCCACGGCACCGGGGAGACACGGCGGGGCCTCTTGAAGCGATGCTCACTGCCATCCCGGCCGCGTGCGGTGTGAGCGTGGCGGTGCTGCAGCCTTGCTTCGCTGCAACACGACCCACTGCAACAGCTCTGAAATCCACGGCATCTTCTCTGGGACTGCAGGAACGGGCCTGAGCACATGCCAGTGCTGTCGCTTTGGGGAGTCCCCATACGTCCCACGGGGCAGGAGGCTGTGGCCAAGGCGAGTCCTGGCCACATGTGCCCACTGTCCCATCGCCCCTCGCTGTGGTGTGGGGACAAGGTGGTTTTGCAGTGGGGTGGCCCGTACCAGCTCGGTTCTCACCCCATCCCTGGCCGGAGACCCATCACAGCCAGGGTAGCCGGGGCAGGCAGCGCACCTCTGCCACGCTGCACCTCCTTTTTGTCCTTGGAGCGGATCAGGAGCTGTGGATCTCCTCAGGGCTTTGGCACATCCCTGGAGAGAGCCGCCCCACGCGGACCCCCCTCGCAGGGGCTGTGGGTGCAGCGGGGCGATGCTGCAGCTGCGGCTCAGCCGGCGCAGGCACAGGAGCAGGGAGGAAACCTCCGGTGCCGTTCGTGTGACCAGGGCAGTGGCGAGGAGCCCCATGCTCTGCCCCTGGCACCGGGGCCAAACCTGGTCCTCGCTACTGCGGGGACAAGGACTTCAGTGCTCAGCGCCCCTGGCTCCTGCTACCTGTTGCCTCTCTCGTCTGGGCAGAACAGAAACCCCTGCCATCAGGGCCTCAGCCCCACGCACCATGGGTTGCTGAGCCGTGACACGTTATTCAGACTCTACAGATAATAGTAATTACAACACCATCACGCTCTGAAAGGCACTTTGTAGCTCCCCGACAGAGAGCTACCATTCAATGGTGACCAGGAAAGCTCCTTCCGAGCCTTTCCCTGGGCAGGAGCTTCACTCCCTACAACTGCAAAACATTTGGGATGTCAAAAAAAATCACCTCCATGTGCACTGCAGAGAACAGCCAACTCATTCCACTTATCTCAGCCAGGCAGAGCCGAGCCTAACCCAGCTGAGCAGGAAGGCTGCGACAGAACAAAACTACCCCAACTACCCCACTAAAACCAAAAAGATTCACTTTTTTCAATGAACCTGTATCAAGCATTGAAAAAAGCAAATATTGTGTGTTACAAGGTGCAAGAATTTTGCTACAGTCAGGCAAAAAAAAGTAAAGGAGCTTTCCTCGGTAGGACATATTTTCTAGATTTTGCTCCTTACATCGGTACTTTTGATATTACATTTAAGTATCATTTCCCATTAGAGAAAGCTCAAACATTTATGCACATTAGTATTAGAAATGCTCTCCAGCCCCTGGACGTGATGAAGAATATTGTATGTCAGCTACACAATCACACGGATCACTGCATATGTAAATATTTAAAACCTAGAATTATGTATCTTCATTTTAAAAAAACCATATTGCATAGGCCTTTATCAAAGTGTAATCTTGGCAGTTTTATATTTTGAAGTACTAGTGACGGCACTTTACCCAATCTTTTATGATTTTATGTTATGCATATATATGCATCACAGACAAACATAGGTGTATATATGTATGTATTATATGAAGCCATTTTGATCTACTCTGATTCAGAGAGGATTTTTGTACTGAAAACAGTATCCCATTTTCATGTAAATGTAAAAAAAAAAAAAAAAAAAAATCAAAAGCTTTTAGATCTGAGTGCCAGGCATCTGAAAGCAGCAACTAGCAAAAAGCAACCTGGTGATAACTAGCATCATATTTCTACTCCCTTCTTTTTACATACAAAAGCCTCATTTTTTAAATCAATTTCCACAAGCAACCAACTGCTCCTCCTAATAGAAAAATGGCACGAGGAAAAAAAATAGACACTGCCCTCCCAGCTTCTTAAGTCTCCTTCCAGTAAACACAATAAAGCCTTACAGTATCTTTTGAAGTCCCCAGCTTCTTCAGCCCGTCCAGAGGGAGGAGATCTGCAGAATCCTTGTGAATAAACTGAACTGCCTGCTTCATCCTCCTCTGCTGGCGGAGAGATGCCGCTTCCCTTATCTCCACTTCTTTTCTACTCGGCTCTGTCAGGATACCCGAATAAAACATCTTTCCACCTGCGTACGGCTCGCTTCTCAAAGATGCGCCTCTTGGAGGGATGGAGCCGGGGAGATGCTCTATCGCCTGCGCTTTATAACCGGAGCCTGGTGACGTTTGGAGACCGGCAGGTACTCCAGCCCGCGCCGCCGAGTAAAGGAGGGGTTGGGCACATTGCAATACGTTGCACAAACAACGGCGGGTGAGCTCAGGCTCAGTCTAAGGGAATAAATTGGCACCGTTCCTGCTCGCTGCCTCTCCTGAAAGCGAGATTAGCTGCAGGCATCCAACCCCCAGCAGCCTCACGGGCAGAAAGGAGAGTGCCGGAGCACTGGCACCGGTGCTCTTTTCTGCCCGTGAGGCAGCTGGGGGGCTTTGAGAGCTGCAAAGAGCCCCGGGAGCCAGCGCACCTCCCAGCCAACCTCTGCAGGCACAGATTTTTTTGGCCTGGATAGGGAGTCTGAAGTGCAACGGCAGGTGACGGCTGCCCAGCACCCATGCGGTCCTGGATGCCGCTGCCCCACAGGGCTGGGGTGATGCAGCCCCGCACGGACCGTGCAGCTGGCCACGTTGAGGTTTGCTACCTTATGCCTGGGCCGGCGGGGTTAGGGCAGGCTCTGGGTGCCACTGGCCTCACCGAAGCATTGCAGGCACCGAGCTGCATCATCACTGTCTACTCAAGTCCCCAGGAAGGGTAAGGACTGTCAGAAAATTGTCCCAGCCAAATTGGGGCACCCCAAACACGCTTTTACACAGGGTTTCTATATCCATCAAACGTTCAGGTACAGCATGCTTTGACTACTAATCACTAGCATCCTACTAGTAATTTACTCTGATTACTAATCAGAGTAAAACTTTGCAAAGCAACTATAGTTTTGCAACATTCTTGCTGCTTGTCTATTGATCCAGACGTTGCTGGAGTCACGTCTTGCTGCAGTTACTTACCTCTGACACCAGATGATGCTGGGAGGGTTTCAAAGACATATTAGAGGGTGAGGGTGCCAATGTTATCTTGGTTGTCCAGGGATATCCTTTATCCTTCATGGGCAGCTCTAGGCTTCCAAGAAGCAAAGTCCTTATTTCTGGGGCCAGGCTGTCCTTTATTGTTTCACGTAAGGACGAAAGTCTCCAGTAAAAATCCACTACCTCATTACATTACAGTGTATAACATGAACTAATACACATCAACAAACTGAATACACTTTCATACTGTAAAGCCTGATTGACATAATAGTTAGGGAAGGGGATTTTCTTAACGGGACTCACAGTACACGTGGGTTTCCTTCACTGCAACAGTGAGTTTTTAAGTGATATATCATCTCTCACCAGAAAGAAACACTTTTTATTTCTTTTTTTTCCCCAGAAGGCCCACACACTTTCAGCAGCGCAGCTGGGGCAGCAGGCACTCGGCCGGACCTTCCGCTCCCCAAGTCATTTGTTGCGAGGAATAGGTGCAGGAGGAAACGCAGCTCTGCCTCAGAGAGACAGAAACACCCCACGTGGGTTTGGTTCTTGTTAAACTAACAGAGACCTTTGATGCACTACATAAAGCGCAAGAAAAGCAGAGCTTAGCCCAGGATTTACGCCAAGCCTGACTTCCAGGGCACTCGCAGCCTTCGGGAGGAGCTGGGGTGCTGACCCCACTTTGCTCTCCCCCACCAATGCAACCCAGACTCATGTTTTCTGCTCAGCAAGACACCATCAGCCTTTGGCCAGCTTCAGGGAAACACTCCTGTCTCTGACAGGAAAGGGAGAGGGGAGGACAAGGAAAAATACCTCGGAAAGACACCCAAAGTAATGTGGAGGAGAGAGAGGAAAAAGAGGGGCTCCCCTGAAAGCAGCCAGGGAGACATTCCCCTTGCAGCAACTGAGATATATTGAAAAAAAAAAAATGAAAGCAATAAAAACGCCAAGCAAGCAGAGTCGCTTTACACCGCAGCACCACAGTTTCTCCTTCCTTCCTCCCCTGTGGGCTGCTGCGAAGCCCCGAGCCTGAGCGGGGAAGGGGCCAGGCAGGATCTGGCCCCCAGCAGCTGAGCTGCAGCCCGCCCCGTCCTCTCACCTCGACCCATGCAACGGGGCCAGCCCCAACCGCCTATTTCTTTATCTCGGCACATTTTAAACGTAAAGCTTGGTTGACGTGAGGGCGCTGAAGGCTGAGAGCAGCCCCTCTGCAGGAGGGTCGCTGCCAGCAGTGCCCGCACCGCCGGCACCCCGCAGCCCCGGCTGCTCGCACGGGGAGCGGTGCTGACGCTGAGCAGGGCTGATGCCAGCTGCTGCGGTGATGCCAAAGCGGCAACGCTCTGCGCGTAAACCTGTACACCTGGGCTCTGCAGCCACGGCCGGACCGTGTATGTTCAGCCCCTCCTCATATGACCTGCGAGGGAGGGAAAAAAAATCAGATGGGAGCACTGAATACAATAAAACCCAAACCCATTATTTCACAGCCTTACATAAAGGCCGTTACGCGTGAGCCAGCCCGAGCTCGGTGAATGTGTCAGTGTGCAGAAGGATAACAGGGCTGACAGTCTGAAGGGGGATATAATTTTTTCTCCCCGCACTGATTCGGCTCATTACACGACAGGACCATTGTTCCACTACAGGCAAATGTGCCTGGGAGGATAAAAGCACCTTATTTTTCACCTTGGGAGCTATTTGGCGCTTATCCAGCTGATTAAATAAAGACATATGACTACATCCGCACTCTCCCAAAGGCAAGGAGGCACAGAAGAAAGCAGAAGGACTGCCACTGAAAACAGGAGACAATTTTTAATATAAAAGCTCCCTGGAGGAGCGGCACTCTGCCTGGCATACTAGCAAATGCCCAGTCCACTCTGGCTTATGGCAAGAAGAGCAAAGCTGCAAGAGCAAGTGGAGCATGAAAAGCCCCCCTCACACTGCAGCTTCATCAGCGTAAGGAAAGAAGAGCTGCGGAGTTTCGTTCACGCCCCCATTTCGTCTCTTCTCCCGATGAAAAGGAAAGCAGCAGCAGGCAAAGCAGGAAGTGGGTCGGTCCTTTTTGTTTTTTTCTTTTCTTTGATTTCTTTCCTTAAAAAGAAGTGATTTGTTAGTGGTTGCCATACCCTGAAGAGATGCAGAGATGCCCCAGAAAACTCAGAAGAAAGGACAGAGTGGTATAATTTAACAGAAACAGACGCAGCAGCAGGCAAGGGTCCCAGAAAGAATAATTTACCCCAGCACAAAGAGAAAGAATCAGTTTTCAGAGGGAAGACCATGAAGAGCTCAAGAAAATGAAACCATGATAATTGATGTAGAAAAACAAGTTATTCTGTCCGTCAGTGCAGGATATGTAAGGGTCAGCTCTAGCATACTCAGGCAAATAATGGAATAATTTGGAGACTAGAAAACAGTCTTTTTCTAAAAAGGTTGGATACAAAAATCCAGAAGGATTTAGTGAGCTTCTTAATCATCATTTGTAGCAAGACAAAGACTACGGATAGAGCTGGAGAAATCCTATAGCATACAAAGGTAGAATCAGGTTGAGATTCCCGAGAGATGTGACCCATTCTGTACAGTAACTCCACACCCACCGTCTGTGTTTCCAATGCCAACCAAGAGAAAGGACCTCCTGGGCCGGGATACGGGCCCCATCACAAGCACGAGCACTGCACAGAGACAACTATTCCCGGGACAGCTCTCCCTATTTACCCGGGGTGCAGCTCCAGCCTCCTTTCCCCCTGTGCGTGTTCTGTGTGGTGCACGAGCTGGCGGCAGCAGGCAGGGAGCCGGGGCACTGATGGTGCTAGGAGAGGAATCAGACATTGTGCAGCTTCTCACAGGAGACTGAACTGAATTTATCTGTCTAGTTCTCTTCATATACGGAGAAAACAGGTGGACGACAGTTTCAAGAACACAAAAACTGCACGTGTCAAACCAAGAGATTAAAATGTCAAGTCTTGCAGGAGCTCCCATACCTTTATTTTTCCTGTTTTAAAGAGGCTGAAACACACTTCTAAAAAAAATAAAAGCACGGGAAGAGTTGATCAGGGAAACAAACGGTAAGCTTCCTAGCGTCTTCTACCGCGTACCTCAGTGACAGCCAGCTCCTGGCTAGGAGCTATTTGTGGCTGATGCAGCATAACTCTGGAGCCTGCAAAGCCGTGCTGGTAACTGCGCTGCACTGGGAAAAAGGGCTGAGCCCCTTCCAGGTCCCACGTGAGCCAGGGAAGAAGCTGCGGATTCCATGTGCCAGCAACGGGGCAGGTGGGGGATTTGGGACAGGGTGCCAAGGGGAAAGGGAGAAGCTGGCAGGTGACTTGCCAAGCACTGGGAAAGGAATAAGAGAACAATACACAGCGGGGCTGGGCTGAGGGACAGAAAGCCTGGCCTCCTCTGACCTCCACATCATAGAGCCGGCAGGAACTACCACAGCCCTTAACAGAGGTAACGGTGGCTGCTGTGCATTGAACTGCACCGCTCCTGCTCACAGGTGGGGGAAAACAGGGCTGATCGTGCCCCCAGCATTGCTCACTAGCTGGTTTCCTGCAAGACAAGATCCAAGCGCAACTCAGAAGCTGTTGTTGCTACGAAACCATCTGCACACACAAGCGCAGACATGGCCGCTGGGTCTTTCAGAGCTTTCCATGGAGCTGAAGACACCAGGGAACTTTCCTCTCAAGCAAAAAGACAAATTCATATCTCTTTCTCTCCCCAGATGTCCCTTGCATGGCTTTCTTCAAGAACTCCACCTGGGCAGGCGGGCAGGAAAAGGTGTACATAGAGGGCAGGTGACGTTTCTCCCCAGTATGTAGCCACACTAACCTCTGTTGATTTTGTGCAATAATAAGATTATTCCAGTATAAACTTTTCAAAATGATTAATTTTAAGAAACATTAATACATGCTAGTTCTCACCCTCCCACATGTATGCTTGAGTTGAACTGCAAATATTTCTTTTGAAGTAAGCTACACATACATTCAAAGTGCCAGCCATAACTGCATCATTCAGATTTCCCACACCTCAGGGGATTTCACTTCCCCTCCCGTCCTGCA